TTGCAAGGCTGTTTCTACTCGATTTAAAAGAGGGACTCTCGAGGTCCACTGTCGAAATTGTTGACAGGTTACAAGTGCGCTGACTAGGTTCTGAAAAATATTCGCAGTCTCAAAACAGGTGCCCCGGTAACGCCATCGTCCACAATACTAAGCCTACTCAAGTCGTCAGCCAATACGTTTTTACCACCTGTAACGTATTTCATTGCATACGTGTAAGCAGACAAAGTGAGTGCCCACTGTTGCATTCTCGGCGAGGACATCTGTTGTATCCCTCCTTTTTCCCCCAGCAAACCTAAGAGGGGTTTGTGATCAGTGCGAATCTCGAAGGGTCAGCCAAAAAGATACAGGTGGAAGCGATGTAGGCCAAACATTATTACTAAGGCCTCTTTATCTAATTGCGAATAGTTAATTTCCGCCTGTGACATGGTTCTTGATGCAAAGGCGATCGGCAGCTCGGTACCAGAAGGCATTCGATGCATGAGAACCGCACCTACGCCGTACTGAGACGCATCACATTCCAGTATGATAGGCTTTTCGGGGTCACAGTGAACTAGGACAACTGAGGAGGTAAGAGCCGCTTGCTCAAAAGCACTTCGTTCGACATCCGACCAGTGCCAGCAACGATTCTTTTCAAGTAATCGATTAAAAGGCTTTAGAATAGTAGCCGATTGATTCATAAAACGACTAAAGAGAGTGACCAACCCCAGGAAGGAACACAGTTGACAAGTATTGTTGGGGTGCAGCGCCGTCCTCTAGCCTGTTAGCTTATGTTTGAGGGGATGGAGGCCAGTTTTATTTACACTGAAGCCCAGGTATTCCACGGAGTCGGTAAGGAAAGAACATTTATCTTTAAAAACCTGTGTCTTCTAAACGTCTTAACACGATGTATTTATTCCCTAGATGACTATGCTCAGATGGGCCAGTGACTAATATATATTCAAGATATGCTCAAACGTGAGGTATATACCTTACGAGGTTATCAATCAAGCATTGAAATAAACCGGGAGTCGAACTTACTCCAAATAGTAGTCTTTTATATCGAAATAAACCTCGATGCGTATGATGGTCGTGGCGTCTCTGGATTCAGTATATATGACGATGTGGCTGTAAGCATGTTTCAGGTCCAAAGTTGTAAATTGATGACCACCTGAGAGGGGTGTGTACAGATCCTTGATGCGCGGGGAAGGATAAGGGTTGAGTTTAGTTGCTGAGTGGATCGTCAGCTTGTATT